TCGCATATGAATAACATACAGACTTGCATATTTGTTTTGTGTTTTTAATAATCATATACTGATTTAGGTGAGAAAACATATTCATATGTGAATATAACGTGGTAATTTAGTTTATGCATTTCATCAAACAGTTAGAGTGCAAACAAGTTAAATATTTTAAAAATGTTGAAAACATCAGGTTATCAATTCCAAATCATCATATACTTCCGATTTTGACTTCAGATGCGACATCCTATCTCTGATCGATTTCTCAATTTGATTTTGATTTCCGAAAATCCGATTGGGAACCCGTGAGTACCGATTCTAAGTCCCTCAATGTCGACTGTGACTGCGAGTTCAGAACTCCGATTCTAATTTTATGAACAACGAAGAAATTCCGGTTTAGTTGAAGAAATCTGGATGATTATTGAAGGTTAAAGGAAAAATTTTGATGATGAATGAACAGTTATCGAATTCTCTATAGTTACGTATTTGAGATTGAAGGTTATTACGATATTTACAAGTTTGCCACCGTGTCTTTTATGCTTAGATTAGATGAATGACTGAGAATGATTCCCCCATTCTCAACCTTTCATACTTTCTCAATTGAACCCACCTATATATATATATATATATATATATATATATATATATATATATATATATATATATATATATATATATAGTTCAATAGAGAACCATAATTATTGATTCTTCAAGGAACCAAATCTTTTTTTAATTTTTAGAGCTTATTTTTTATCGAAAAAAATCTAAAAATATTTAAATTAATATATTAACATTGTGAATATGAAAAATATTTTTCGGATTTACCGTGTGAATCTGGATTCACGTTGTGAATTTTAAAAAATTAACATTGTGAATTAGATTATAGTTTATTAGCTTATTTGTTGTGAGAATAAACAATAAGCAAGGGAAGAGATGCTTATTAAAATAAGCTTATTTAGCTTATCCCAACCACAATAAGTTGATTTTTAAGGATTTCTATTGAAACATTTAAACCTAGCTTATTGTGGTGGGAATAAACAATAAGCAATAATCACCCTCTTTTTTCTCTATCCAAACACCCCCTTATACTACATTAGGACCCTATGCTTATCAATTTTGTTCACTTTAATCTCTTAATTTTCGTTTTTAGTTTGCAAGTCTTTATTTGTACCCTAACATACTAGACTCTTAGAACTTAATTATTAAAACCTATTATTTATAGAGTGTAATATCACATCATTAAATTATTATCATAAACTAAGTTTATGATATCTCTGTCTATCATATGTAACTTATACGTTGCTAGAATGATCATGATCTCTTTCTATCCTACATAACTCATAAACATCGATTGTTATATTTGCATATATGGAACATATGTGAACTCAATAAAGACTAGCGTTGACATAAAGACTAGCATCGACACGTTTCATAGCTTATGTATTTATTTTCACTTGCAAACCGTTACTGACTAATCGTAAAGGCTATATCTCAAATGTCAACTTCATGTACATCACTATAAAACCTTTGTCTAATTGATGACATTAAATACTATGTCATGGATGATTTCTCCATCCTTTTTTAGACTATTACATAATATAAACATTGGCTATTGCTTTGTTTTCACCACTATTTACATAAAAGGTTCTTTTTAGGCATCATATATATATATATATATATATATATATATATATATATATATAACAAATTGTATATGTTCCTTATCTGTAACGTTCCAAAAATACTGAGTAAAATTATCATTTTTATTATCTCAAAACCATTCATTCATTATTCCAAAATATGTTAAGAGTAAAAGTATTTTCAAAACATTAGAGTAAAATTATAAACAATCATTTTGGAATAATATTCAGGGGATGCAGTGTGATCAAGGCGGACCATTCCGTTTTGAAATTAGAAGTACCTGAAAACATTTTTAAACATAGAACATAAGCACAAAACTTAGTGAGTTCCTAAAAAATACGACATACAGCATGCACACAAATATAACAACATGCAGTTGTGTCGGGTCCGTATCAACCCTAAGCCCATATGACTCTATGTAACAGCTTGTAGTTGTGTCGGGTTCGTATCATCCACGAGTCCATAATGACTCTAGATAACAGCTTGTAGCCGTGTCAGGCCTGTATCAACCACCGGGTTCGTTTCACCCCCATATATATATATATATATATATATATATATATATATATATATATAAAAGCATGAGTCACAAAGACAACAAGTACATACAAGCATATCAACAAGTGTCACAAAGATAACCATCATCCTACAACATAATCCAGTGGGTCAATATTGGTGCCTTTGACTCATGAGTATAGTGAGGAGACTCGACTCAACGATAATGGATAAATCTCACACCCGAGCTGCTGGTACGAGAACATCCTCACATTATACATATCCAAACAACCCTAATTTGCAATTAAAGAAAGCAAGAATGATCTGTGCGGCCAAGGTTTGAAAACTCAAGCCTTAAATTAACTTAAGATCAATGTTTGCTACTAATAAAGATCCAGTCAAGTCTGTTAAACCAGTGTCTCAGAACAGAGATATTTAACAAAGTGTTCAAGGTATGAATAATAATAAGTATGAACAATGTAAAGCAAATTAAGAACAATAAGAATGTAAAAAGAGAGGGATTTGACTGAATAATACTTGGTATTGATGTGAAAGATAATGTTACACTCGTGTATATAACACTAGAGTTACAATTCATTAAATAGACAAGGAATGAAAAATAAGACAAACCTACTAAAGGGCATGAACTAAAAGACAAGTGAAGATCAACAAGCTGACAAAGTTGCATCTGATGATCTTGTCCCATGTATTGTACAATAAACAGCCATTAAGAGACAAACTAGTACTAGGAACATTTAATGCACATTACAGACTCATAAATTAAATAAAAAAAGGATACATCTAAGAAATTTCTTTAATTTGGAATCAACATCATCTCAGAAAATTACTCATTTTGAAATTAGGAATTCACTTTGGATTGCTAAGGAGTCACCTTTGATGTATCAACAATCTCCCCCTAAGTGACCTTAGCAATCTTTTGACTAAACACTTCGATTCATCAAAAAAAAATTAGATAAGCACTTTGAAGTCATCTTCGGACCTTGATGTACCATCTAAGATGCTCAATAAATTTCTTTTTCACATGTTCCGAAGAGTCACTCTTGTTTGCATTGGAGATGAACTTTTGGAGAATCTTGGTAGGAACAAGATGTTTGTCTGGCACTCGGAAAAATTCCTTTTGATTGCTCTTCTTCTTGAGGTAGATGTAACCAAGTTCTAGTTCTTCGATGGGTCCTTCAACTAAAATCTGATATTCAGGAAGTTCGGTAGTGATTTTGGGCAAGAATTTTTCTGTTCCAAAAAGATGAGCAAACTCTACATCTGATCGACAAAATTCAGTGATGTAGTCCTTCAGGTAGCAGATAGATAAGTTGTAGGATCCAATGCTTGAATCATTTGATTGTCAATCTTGGAGGTGTGCACTAATAACAAGATTGTCATTTGGATTTATTGAAGGAAAGTTTGCATTAGTGATTAAGATGGTAGATTCTTTGTTCCAGGAAATATAGTATATGTATAGGAGACAATCAAGATCAAACTTGCTATGGAATTTTCTACCATGATCAACTGTCTTGGTGATTCGTTTTTGAGACCACACTTCCTTTTAGGGTCATCCATTGGTAGAATAAAAAGTGCTCAATCTCTCACGCTTAGTTCGGATGATAGTTTGAGGATCGTCATTAGGATGCAGAGGTACATGCTTGATGTAGAAGCATAAATATGGAGAGATTGGCAAGTCCTGTTGATTAACTTCTTCAAATGGAAGATTTAAATACATGAAAGGCATGAAATGTATGTCATGAATGATTCCTTCTTGGAAGAGAGGATAAATGCCTAGCTTCGGATTTGGCTTATCTTTGAGTGCTTGAATCCGAATGCTTTCTTACAAAGCTTGATCAATTTGTTCCTTAGACCAACCCTCAGACTTTTTAAATGACTTCATTAGGCTGTCCGAACTTGTGTCAATCTTTTTTCCTTTGTCTTTGAATTTATCACCTTTATCAGAAATGGAGGAGATGATTTGACGACCAAATTCTGTGATAAATGGTTTGGATGGAGGAGGAATCAAAAGCTCTTCATATATTTCATCAGGTTTCCTGGTGGGAGAAGCTTCATCAATATGAGCGATCCTCGGAGCAGGAATTAAAGGAAGCATGGATGGAGTGGCTCGGAATACATCAATTATCAGCTTGGATTTAAGATCTGCCATGTTTTGACTCATTTTGAACACTTCTGCTAAAGATTATGTCAAGAAACCGAGGACCATTTCATCTTCTCTGCTTCTGAAATAACTTCAAAAGGCTGTCCCCTAATAGCTTGAAGTCCTAAAGTCACATTTTCATCCAAATCTTCCTCATCTTCAACCTATTCGCTTTCCATATCTTCAACTTCCACAACTTCTTCATCAGTAGATTCATATCGGAGCACATAGTCCAAGATGGGTTTTCATTGAATTGTTCTTTCTCCCCCTCTTTCATGGGAAGACCCAGCCTCCGATGCAAGTATTGATTCAGACTTGATTTCTTCCAATCTTTCAAACACCCGTTGAAAACTTGTATTGAGTTGCTTGGTGAGTGCGTCATATGGCTAACCTATAGGAGCTTGAGCTTTAAGGTGGGAAAATGTTTCATCAAGAATAACAAGCATGCCATCAAATTTATGGTTCAGAATATCCACAATATTCCTGGTTGAACGGATAAGATTGATGAGAATCTCTTGCATAACATGTTCATGGAATCTTTTTGACGGATCTCCTTTTCAAGTCATTGAATATGTGTCTCATGATGAACATGAGTCTTCTTGATGAGCTCATTGGTAGCATTAATCATATTGTTGTGTATTTTAAGCATGATGGTGGTTGTGGAGATGTGATGATCGAGACTGTCATTGTACTTTTGCTCAACTTCTTTGATAGTGCGCTAGAGACGAAGGGAAATGAGCTGGTCAAGCCGATTGACTCGGTCATGTTCTGAGGGAGAATCAACTTGGATCTTGGAAAGATATTTGAGGATGAGCTCGAGTTTGGAGTCAAAATTTGCAGTAGTTTGATCAAGTTTTGTATCAATGCCTGTGACTTTTAGATCAAGTTTATCGACTATGGAGTTGGCTAAAGCAACATTATCTCGGATTTCCAATAGGACAAAATGATCTGCATCGTTCTCATCGTAGGATCCTATGTTCGAGGTGGAACTTTTTGATTTTTATTATCTTCATTATCATCATCATTTGGCTCTGAAGGCTTGGAATCATCAATTGGAATACCTTGTGCTTTGTTATCTTGATCGCCTTTCAAGGTATCTTCAGGAGGAGAAGAGGAGTTCTTTACCTTCAATATTTTCTTCTTCTTCTTCTTCTTCTTCTTCTTCTTCTTCGTCTTCTTCTTCTTCTACTTCTTCTTCTTCGGAGGAGGAGATTCTGAAATCGTAATGAGGTTTCGAGGAAGAGGGCTTCTACAGAAGATTGAAAGCAATGGGGATCGGAATAGCACCAACATAAGTTTTATCATATTCAAACATGATCTCATCCGCAAGATCATCTTCAACATCAGGTTTAGGATTTTCCTCACTTTTGATCATTGGAGGATTATCTTTAGTGTTGCCAAGAATTGGATCCTTGGTACTTGGAGTCTTCTGCAAAGATTTGATGAACAATTGAAGCTCCTGGTATGCTTCTTCATTTGACAGGAAGGTGAAAGGAAGATGACATCAGAGAGATCGTTAACGCATAGAAATGAGCTTATATTCAACTTTTTCTCTGGTAAGCTCCAAATGTCTTGTATGAGCCTTGTCAACAAAATCAGACCAATCGTTGTCAAAAATACTCGATCGTCCTTTACCTGGAGCACATATCAAACTGGTTGTGGATTTCGAAGTAGGGGACTACTCGAGCTTCAGAAAGCTTGCAATCAGAGGCAAGGGCCCCTAATTTTGCTTGTGAAGAAACGAGAGGGATTTCGGAAATGAATCTTGAGTGTGTCCTAGGCTGATTCAAGGGACTTTGTTCAATACCGAAACCAACTTTTTGAGAAGATGGGGTAGATTATGTGTAGCCCCCCATGTGTGTGTGTGTGTGTGCAAGTGATTTTGAAGCTCCGAAGGGTACTTCGGAAGAGTGGTCGGGTAGGGTAGGTTGTGATCTAGAGTCAGATCGAATGTTGATTTTTGAATCTTGTTGAGAGGATTCACCAGCTTTAGTTATCTTTTTGGTTCAAACTTTAGAAGGAGATGCCTTACGTTTGACAATATATTTGATGCATCCTCCAGAGGTGGTGGATTTGTTCTCATCCGAGGCGGTCTCATCCAAGATCGGGGTAGGTAATGTTGGGTCGAACACAAACCGAGATATCAAGATGATGTTTGAGATGTGATAAGTTGTATGGAACCATGGACATCATATGTTCAGGTAGACGTCTAATAGGTCCAAAGGAAAATTGATTCGATAACCTATAAGTATTAATAGCTTTTAAAGAACAATATAGCTCTTGGATGTTCAAATTAAGTGGGATGGCTTCATGTCTCTTGGAGTATAGTTGTAACCTCCCGAAATCACAAGAGTAGAGTTGAAGGGATAAAAGTGTAAGTTTCGAAGGGTGACTCGGCGAGTCCATGGATAGACACGGCGAGTCAGGTCGCGACTATGGTCGCGTGTCAAGTGGCCTACTCGGTGAGTAGGTGCTGTATGGAGAAAACCCTAATTTTCGGGGTTGAGCCCTATATAAAGAGCATTATGCCCCTCCACAGCCTCCCTTATTCCCCCCTTGAGTTCCAGAAACCCTAAATTCGTGGAGAGTCCATTTGTGGAGCAAATTAGAGCTTGGAGAGGTGTTGGTTGAAGAAATCTTGAAGGAGAAGTCGCTTGGATCAAAGGGCTTTGCTTGGATTCGAGTTTCATTGTTGTTGAGGCATCCTTTGGAGGTAATACTTTTGTTCTTGGGTTGTATCTTCCTAGTTTCTCATTTTGGGGTTGTGTGGGGTGCTTGGTTGTGTGGTATCTTGATGTTTGGGGTATGGATCTGAGGTTGCTACCTCAGATCTGGAGTGGAGAAGATCTTAAGAGCATTAAATCCCCAGTTCTTGTGTTGTTGATGGAGCTACCATGTCCCAAACCTTGGTTCTAAGGTGAATAAGGCCTAGATCTCTTTAGATTCACATAAAGTTTGCCACTTTACGTGATGGATGGATTGTAAGAGGTTGGATCTATGTTTTGGATCAATTGCATGGCCTGAGATGCTTCTGTATGGATTCAGACCGGTGCTACTCGTCGAGTCACATGGGGCGACTCGACGAGTTGCTTGAAGATGGCCTTGAACTCAATGAGTTGGAAGAACAACTCGGCGAGTAGGTTGAAGATAGCCTTGCACTCGACGAGTCCATTTGGACTCGGCGAGTCTTGTCAAGGAAGTCCCAATATTTCTGGTTGAGTCGATGAATCGGTGAGTCAAGGGATGACTCGGTGAGTTGGGTGCGAGTGGACTCAGAGTTGTTGGACTCAACGAGTCTTGGGGTGACTCGGTGAGTTGGGTTGCTAATTAAGGGAAGTTCTGAGCAGAAGGACTCGGCAAGTCATCGGGTTGACTTGGCGAGTAGGGTCAATCAGGGGTTGACTTTGACTTGTCCAAGGTTGACCAGTTGTCTTCCAGGGGTATTTTGGTAATTAAGGGTATTTATTGAGTTGTATGTTTTGATGTTCAGTGGAGGAGTTCGTGTCAGAGTTCGGAGCAGCGGGATCTTATCCTTTCAGCCGAAAGTTTCGAGGTGAGTTATCCTCACTATATCAACAGGGTCTAAGGCACCAAGGCCGGCCCTTTATTGGATTGAGTTTCAGATATGGTTATTAAGTTATTATCTGATGTGTCTGCATCCTGGTAGCTAGGATGGTACATGCTAGGAGACCTTGTTAAGGTCAGTTTCCCGATATATATAAAGTGATGCTATGCGAGTGACCGGTTAGGTCGGTAACCTGGGTAGAGTAATGATATGCTATGTGATCTGTTTGTTCTGTTTGTTGGCTATGACTATTATATGATTGTATGTTTTGTGCACATGGTTGTTTGGACTAGAGATGGGTTGAGGCGGGTCCTGCTTTGTGTTGTAGGCCAAGACACCCAGGGCGGATCGGTTATTCTGAAGGCCCAGCGAGCGGTCCGGATAGGCTGTAGGCCCCACGAGGGCGGACCAGACGTGCCGAGGCTCGGAGAGTGGACCAGGCCGACTGAAGGCCCGATGCGGGCGGACTAGTCACACTGTAGACTCAGAGAGTGGACCAGGTGGGTTGAAGGCCCGATGAGGGCGGACCAACCCCACTGTAGACTCGAAGGACATGACTAGACCTAGAGGATGGATCCGATGGACTGAAGGCCCGATACGGCGGACCAGTCACACAGTAGACCCGATATGCATGGCTGTTCTATGTTCTGTTATGTTATGTATGTTTTATATGTTTTGGACCGGAAGGTCGTAGCCTGGAAGGGCGTATACGTGGTTGGTATTTTGGGGGTATCTCACTAAGCTTTCGGGCTTACAGTTGTGGTTTAATGTTTTTCAGGTTCTTCAGGAGACCGTGGCATGGCGAAGGCGTGATCGTACCGCTCCTCGTGATTTTGTAGCAATATGATTCTGGGAATACTCTAATGATTTGTATTGAAAACCTTTTTGTAAACATTTTAATGAAAATCGGGTTGTTTTGAAAAATTTAAATTGGTTGTATTTTTCGGATGTTACAAGTTGGTATCAGAGCCGTGGTTTGAGTGAATTGGAGGGTTTTCAAAAGAGAATTTAAAATGGTTTTCAAAATAAGTAAAGGAGGACGCGGAGGTACGATCAGCTGGAGCCAGTAAGTAACCCCAAAATACCATACATGACAATTGTTTTATTGAGCTTTGATAGAACAACATGCTAGAGTTAGGCTAGGGATCTTCAGGATTTCTTGATGAGTTGCCTGATTTATGATGCCAGCTAGCTAGGGTTCCTTGTGAGAGATTTCTAGTGTTCCTCTGGTTGTGAGGATAGATCGTTGTTATGTATGTCGCTAGGGTGTTGTGGGAGTACTTCATACAAATATGGGTAGGTGTGGAAGGTAATATGGGCCCGTACTACTGAAAGCACGGACTCATATGCGTATCAGGGAAACCATGACCTCTAGGGTTGGGATGAGTGCTGGTTCCCGGGATAGTGGAATATGTCTGAGATTTGGTGTTTTATTTTCAGTATGGAGATTTCAGGGTACGCTGGGAGTGGATCCGGGTCAGGATCAGGAGCAGGAGAGGGAGTTCCGGGTGGGTCTGTACAACCCGAGGTTGTCAGTCAGATGAGTATGCACGAGTTGGTTGCGAGGATTCGTGAGATCCTGCATGATGAGGTTGCTGCATTGTTTCGGGCTGAGCTACCGGAGTTGTTTGGGTCGATGAAGACCGCCATGGTGGAGTATTTTGATGAGCGTTATGCGGCTCTCACGGAGACGGCTGACGCGGCGGCTACCGCGGCAGTAGCAGCGATAGGGGGAGGAGCCAGTAGAGGTTTTCAGTATCGGGACTTCGATAATACGAAGCCTCCCACTTTTGATGGAGTTCAGGATCCGATCGTTGCTATGAGATGGTTATCAGATGTGGAGGGATGTTTCTTCACGTGTTCAGGCCCTGCTGATCAGAGGGTGAGGTGTGCTCTGAACCTGTTAAGGCTCGGGGCAAATGATTGGTGGAGATTGACCACGGGGTCGTACTCGGACGCGCAGAGAGCTGCGATTTCATGGGATCGGTTCAGAGAGTTGTTCAGCACTCGTTATGTTCCGCAGGTCGAGAGGGAGAGGTTGGCTCAGGAGTTCTTGGAGCTGAAACAGGATTCGGAGTCGGTGACGGAAATCACCAGGATGTTTACTGAGAGGGCGATGTTTTGCCCTGAGTTCGCTTCAGAGTAGGCTCAGATGTCCCGATATCTGAGTATGCTAAAGAGAGACATCAGATAGTTTGTGTCTGCGCAGAGGTGCGAGACTTTGATGGAGTTGCAGGAGGCCGCCAGGCGGCGTGAGTTAGAGATTGAGTTGCAGATGCGTGAGCTGAGGCAAGCGCCGGTTCAGTCGCAGTCGGCGACGAAACGGTCTAAGACCGTTGATTCCAGGATGGGAGATCAGGGTAGCCACGTCTGTGGAAAGTGTGGAAGGGGTCACGCTGGGGTTCGTTGGTCCGGTGGAGCATGCCGCAAGTGCGGAAAGGAGGGACACTATGCGAGGGATTGTCGGCAGTCAGTGCCGGTTCGGGATTTGAGGATATGCTATCATTGTCATCAGGTTGGACATTTGAAGGTCAACTATCCACGACTTGCTGCAGGATCGGTGCAGGCTCCAGCACCGGCTACGTTGAGGATCACAGGTGGAGGTCAGGGTGGAGCGGAGCCCCCAAGGGCTTAGGGTCGTGTTTTTCAGCTTGCTGCTGCGGGTATGTTTCTTTCTGTTGTTTTTGGTCATTTATGATTGTTGTGGAGTATTGTTATCTATTGGTTTCGTTGGTTGGTTATGGAATTGCGTTTCGGGTTTTTGTGTGGTATCCGTTGTTCCCTGAGGGTTTGGCGAGTTGTGATCGAGA